GCCGCCATTAGTCACGCATGGGCTGTTTTTGTGTGTTCAAGTCCCATGATTACCCTGGACCTAAACCCGTGTGACATTAAAGGGAACAGCTAGAAATATCAGATGTTTAAACGGCACCCCCCAAATCTGGGCACTCCATAATCCCTGGTGATCCCACCATAAAGGTCCTTGATCAGGCACTTATGTATAAGTGACAACACTTTGTGCCAGTCTCCTTATTGTGCTCCTGTGTTGTCACACGGGCTTCCAGTGTAGACTTCCTGCGGCTGTGCCAACACAGACGTGGTCCACTGTTGTCACCATGTTGAAGCCGGCCCTGTGCAGTGGTGTCCGGTGGGTGTAGACAGGAAATGGCTGGAGGAGGGGAGTATTAGCACCGAATAGCCGGTACAATTGGTTTCATCTTGTTTGACATCCGAATTGTTCGTAGATTTTCCCGGTGAATCTGTGCGCAGTTTTTATGTCCTTGACCCCCCCGGTGGGTGCAGCTGCCATGGGGGTGCTGGTGGACCCCCGGTGGGTGCAGCTGCCATGGGGGTGCTGGTGGGCCCCCGGTGGGTGCAGCTGCCATGGGGGTGCTGGTGGACCCCCGGTGGGTGCAGCTGCCATGGGGGTGCTGGTGGACCCCCGGTGGGTGCAGCTGCCATGGGGGTGCTGGTGGACCCCCGGTGGGTGCAGCTGCCATGGGGGTGCTGGTGGACCCCCGGTGGGTGCAGCTGCCATGGGGGTGCTGGTGGACCCCCGGTGGGTGCAGCTGCCATGGGGGTGCTGGTGGACCCCCGGTGGGTGCAGCTGCCATGGGGGTGCTGGTGGACCCCCGGTGGGTGCAGCTGCCATGGGGGTGCTGGTGGACCCCCGGTGGGTGCAGCTGCCATGGGGGTGCTGGTGGACCCCCGGTGGGTGCAGCTGCCTATGGGGGTGTCGGTAGCCCCTCCCCCGGTGTGTGGCGTGGCCCCCACCTGGCTGATCTCACGGATTCTGTGTGGCGTCGGTTCTGGATATCTGATTATCGGACGCGGTGGATACCAGTATTCCGCCGCGGTAGCATTTCTGAGGCTGCTGATTTGACAATCTTGTTCTATGTAGATAAGGAACGGCTTCTGCCTCCGGCGTCCTCTCCTATAAATCATTCCCCGAACATTCATCCTCGGAGGGGACTGTCATGGTGGGGGCGGGGGGACTCACGACTCTCCGCCGCGTGACATCATCTACGCGTTCGGTTTCGGTCTTTTATTCGGCGGTGACGCAGTGACAGGTTCTCTTTCTGCTCTGACATTTGAGATACATTGTGTATCTGGTTTCATCGGGTTTGCCCCTCCCGGCTCTCTTCACCTCTCACCGTTCCTGGATCGGAGGATCTCACATTGTACCCGCCTCTGTGTGGCAGGGGGAGGGGCTGCTGTCAGTGCATGCTGGCACTTGTGGTTCTCCGGCAGCTGCATGTCTCGGGGGCCCGGCTCTGTCGTGATTGGAGTTCATTTTTAATTCCAGTTTTTGGTAAAAAAAATACAAAAGTGAAAATCTTCATAAACGTTATTTTTACCTTTTTTTCTATATTCTAATTTTTCTAGCAACAGAATTCCATAAAACGTGATGGCGGAACATTCCAGGGACACTCCATTAATGCCATTTATAGTCCCAGGGGCCCCTACAACACACACGGCTCCTCTGACTTGGGGCCCCTGTTATGGCCAACTGTCTCTTCTGTCCTCATTCTGGAGTCTCTGTAACACACATCCGCCTCTGTAATTGTGGTCTCGGGGGCCCCTATAACCTCTCACTCTACAATCCTGGGGCCCCTCTAATACAGCTGTGTCTTTCTCTCGCCACAAGCTCGGTGCCCCTAAAATATGCAGCTGTTTGGGGACCTCAGCATTTTGGGGCCACATAACTCACATCTGTCTCTTCTCTACTCAGTCTTGGGGCCCCTGCTATGCACAGCTGTCTCTTCTCTTAGCATTTTGAGGCCTTTTAACACACAGCTCTCTCCTATGTATTTGCTGTCATGGGGCCCCTGTTATACATCTGTCTCTGGCAGTCTCGGGGCCCCTGTAATACATATGTCTCCTGCAGTCTCGGGGCCCCTGTTATACACAACTGTCTCCTATGTATTTGCAGTCTCTGGGCCCCTGTAATACATCTGTCTCTGGCAGTCTCTGGGCCCCTGTAATACATCTGTCTCTTGCAGTCTTGGGGCCCCTGTAATACATCTGTCTCTGGCAGTCTCGGGGCCCCTGTAATACACAACTGTCTCCTATGTATTTGCAGTCTCGGGGGCCCCTGTAATACACAGCTGTCTCTTGCAGTATCGGGGCCCCTGTAATACACAGCTGTCTCTAGCAGTCTCGGGCCCCTGTGACTCTCTGCAGGCACATTCTTGGTTGATGGCGTTGGCCCCGTGATCTGGTCTCAAACCCCCCCCCGCCAGTGAGAGGAGTGGCCCCGATCACCAGACTGCACAGGGCCCCTGTGTGTGATATTTTTAAAGTGGACCTGTCACTCTCTATTGTAAGCTCCTTTTTATATGTTTTCCTGTGAGGAGGAATTCTTTCCCCTCTTGTTGGTATCTGTGATTTGAGGTTCTTCTCCGCTGTGCAGGTTGTGCGTCAATCACGGCGCCGATTGGTTCCTTGTGAATCAGAAGCTTCCAGAATAATAATGTTCATTAAATGTGATCATTTGCTGAGCTGTCTGTACATTTCTAGTGTGTCAGAGCCGCTTCTCCCCTTGTGGAATGTATCCTGAATGCTGTGAAGGTCAAATTAAAGGATGAGTCCACTTCTCCGCTCCTGGCCCCGCCCTCTCGCTCAGCCTTTATGTAATCCAATGAATTAACTGTAAGGCCGAGCCTCCTATGCAGATCAGAAGAGGCCCCCAGAATACTATACACACTATATTGCCAAAAGTATTGGGCCCCGCCCCCTCCCAATCATGTGATTCAGGTCCTCCAATCCCCTCCGTGGCCCCCGGTGTATAGGACGAGGCACCTCGGCGTGCAGACGCTTCTACAGACATTGGTGAGAGAACGGGTCGCTCTCAGGAGCTCGGTGACTACAAGCGTGGTGCCGCGATAGGTTGTCACCTGTACGATAAGTCCGTCCGTGACATTTCCCGGCTACTAAATATTCCGCCGCGGTCGCCTGTTACTGGTATTATAACAAAGTGGAAGCAACTGGGAACAACAGCAACTCAGCCAGGAAGTGGTCGGCCACGTCACATGACAGAGCGGGGTCAGCGCATGCTGAAGCGCACAGAAGTCGCCAACTGCCTGCAGAGTCAATGGCTACAGACCTCCAAACTCCATGTGGCCGTCAGATTGGCACAACAACAGCGCGTAGAGAGCTTCATGGAATGGGGGCGGAGCAGCTGCATCCAAGCCGCACATCACCAAGTGCAATGCAAAGCGTGGGATGCCGCGGTGTAAAGCGCCCCGCCACTGGACTCTAGAGAGGAGGCGTGTTCTCTGGAGGGACCAATCGCGCTTCTCTGTCTGGCAATCCGATGGGCGTGTCTGGGTTTGGCGGCGGTTGCCGGGGGAACGGTACTTGCCTGACTGCATTGTGCCGAGTGTAAAGTTCGGTGGAGGGGGGATTATGGGGGGTTGTTTCTCAGGGGTTGGGCTCCACCCCTTAGTTGGACAATTTCATGCTCCCAACTTTGTGGGAGGAGTTTGGGGATGACTCTGACACCCCTCCGTCCATACATTTCTGTGTGTTGTCAGAACTTCAGAGCTGAGAATATTTCTGGGAGAGATTTTGTGTACATGTAGAGTCTTTAACTCTTTCACTGCCAGTGTGTGCAGATATATGTGTATGATACGGTCTGTGTGAATGTAGCTACATAGATGAATTACAGTGTGGGGTTAGATTGTGTTGTCCCGCCCT